GAGCAGTCCACTTGGATAGGAGGGGAGATAAACGGTAAGGCCCTCAGGGAACCTGAGTTGGTCCCACTTACCTGCGTGGCATGGGGTGACCACCCCACATCCAAGGGGAAAGTGAGCTGGCACCTGCCCTGTTTCCCACCACAGAGACCTAGTGCGGAGAGAGCCCTCGTGAGGAGGTGACTGTTATAGCCTCCCCTGTCACGTGTGTGGTCAGTGTCCTCAGCGGAGCCAGTCTGTCTTGGGGTGGCTGAGTAAGAGATCAGTAACCACTGGGACAAGGACCCCTGTCCACTCTTACAGGCTTCCCTGAGTCATCACATCCAGCCTCATGTCTGGGTGCACCGACATGTTTACAACCCGCAGGCCCAACCCTGAGCCCATCCTGACCAAGAAGGAAGCTGGACAGCAGCACCAGCACCAACACCTCACAGCTTGGACCCAGTCAGGTGGCCCAGACACTTTCCCCCGAGTTTCCAATCCAACTCCCATACTAACTGGCTTTGAGACTGAGGGGAAATTTACCACCCTTCTCTCCTGGGTGAAACACGCTGGTTATGAAAATCAAATGAAACCAAGCTCACAGATCTCTGACACAGACACAAGCAACTGGGGAGCACTGGATGTCAGCTTGGCCAAAAATCGTCTTAAAACAACCAGATGGCACTAACTGTTCTTTCTTAGCATAGAAAACTGAAAATTGACTGTATCTTGCCTCAAGATGGAACTCACATGGCCGTGCCTGTAATGGGATGGATAATAACATTTTTTAAGTTTGCAGATGGTTAGGGTGATAATCTGTGGGAGTTACTGTCCATTTATTGGTTTCTGAAACACACAGCAGACCCTGAATGAGACTGACATTCTCTAAGAAATTACGTTTAATATATCTGTTACAGGTATATTAAGATAATTTAATTTTTAAACAAAGCACCAGGCATTAAAAATATACGTTTTCTGATTTCTAATAAGGTGAAAAGTAAGCCTTCACCATTTTTAGGTTTGCTCACATCTTACCTTCTTTTTCACTCTATTAAATGTAATAAAGGAAGGATAATTAGAAAATACCAAGCACTCTGGAGTTTTTCCTCCTTTTGTTGTCTCTACTGCCATCTCTATGAGTTCTTGGTAGAAAAAAATTGAATGTATTGAACCCAAATATGGACAGATTTTACAACAATTACTTCTATGTTTGTTTTAAATTTTAAGCTCTTTCCTTAAGTATGAAGAGACGACCCAAGAGCTGTCACTGCTCTGGGTGAATTGTGTGTTTATTGGCCAACGTGCTCGACCACTTTATGAAAGTGACACCTGCAATGATTGTCTACACCATGCTCGGTGGGTAAATGGGGGTTTAAAAGTTGAAGAAAAAGCATCATTATCTTCTTTCTTTGGTGATTGGATATCTGGAGAAAGGATGGATTTGAACACTCATGCTTGTAGAACATTTAATTCTATTTTTAGCCATCTTTCATTGGCGGATGAGATTTGCAGGGATGGGGAGCAAAATTATGGAGGATGTCTAAAAAATGTGGACTCACTGCTCCTTATCTTCTGCTTCATAAGATGAAAGGTAGTTCTCAAGATAAGTAAAAGCAGAAAATACTTTCTGGAGATTTGTCCTTTAGAATCTTATTGCCTCCGTTTGTCTTTTGACATCCAAGTTAATTGTCTTGGTAACAGAATTAATAAGGGGAGTCAAGAACACAGAAAAGTAGCTGCCTTGTCCAGACAGCGGGCTGGATGTGAGTAACAGCCTACAGGAGGGCAGCACACGTGGAGCCAGCACATGTTGTGCTGTTTCAAGACTGCGTTAACGTCCTCATGCTGCAAAGTCATGATTTAAACCCTCCTGAGAGACTCAACTTCCCAAAAGACCCGACATCATAAAAGAAGCTTTCACATTGGTGCTTGTAATACGTTGTTCGCTGTTATCTCAGGGCAAGTTCTCACCTGGCCTATAAAAAGAAAGGAGACAATGGCTATACATTGAAAAACACACACGTGTCTTAGGTAAGAAATCTTTTTGATTTTCAATAATAATAGGTTTTTCAAGTACTAATTTTTCTTTTGTGAATAAGAACTCTTGGTTCCCCGCTGCCACCCCAAGTTATGGTCCAGCCAATAATAAAATTGGCCAAAATATTCAGCAGAAAGCGATTATTTCAACACAGATTTCTTTCAAACTTAATATCATGGCAGACCGCTGCCAATCCTCATGAGGAATTTCAAGTGATACCGATGAATGACACCAGTAGCTACAAAATGTGTCTCCTAAGCAATTAATTTACAAAAATTACTAAAATTAAAGTTGCAAAAAGTGAGATATCCTCCATTCCAGACTTTCCTGGAGTGAGCTGCACCAGTCTGAGCTTCTACCTGTGGAGGAGGGAGTTCTGGATGCCTGGGTCTCAGGCCGCATTGAATGGAGGGGGCGAGCTCTGTTCTGTCCAGATTGAGAGTTTAATGTTGAGCCAAGATGCCTGGGGGCCCCGCAGGTTTGAGCTGCGGGTTCTCATTACGTGTGAGAAGTGATGGCTCTGCCCAAATCACCACGGGGAGAGGGAAAAAGTCATTACCGTTACTCGGGTTGAAGTAGTTAAAAGGAAAATGTTACTAAATCATAAAAGCCTGTACCATTCCCAGCATAAAGCGGCTCAATTAATGTAATAATTTCTACTCTGAATGAGAAATAGGCCACTCATCTAGGGGACATGCAAATTAAGGAAAATGCTGTGATATCGTTCTCTTTTTTAATGTCACAGAGCTTTTAAAATGTGTGATTGATCGTCCATGTAATGTTGGCAAAGCTCAGCAATTTCAAGATATCTGGGTTCAATTTGTTAAATGATGAGAGTAAAAACTTCAGATTTTCTAATTAAGAAGTATTTACATTACATTTTGACTTTTAGTTTCAAGGGATACTCTTTAAGACTCTTGAATTCCCCAATTCATAAATATGAATAGTTGCCATAAGAGCAAAGGTTCTTGGGCATGCAGATGCCAAGTGATGGGCGAGCTTCTGTCATTAGCTTAGGGACTGACTTCTGTGCACATTCACGGTATACAGCATTTAATCATTTATCTCAGCAAAATTCAAATTGCTATGTGTCTTGAACCTTTAGAATGTTGATAAATAATTAAAACTACAAATAATAAACACGTGAATGTGAAGGGCCTATTGAAACTTGACACAAAATAGTCAAAATAGTTTATCTGGTCTCTTTTTACGAGAAAAAAATAAGCAAACAGGTTATAGCTCAAAATATTTAAGACTCTGTAACGCCATCAGTGCAGATAAACCTTGCACGTCTCCAGCAATAACCAGTGGTCATGTAGAATATCCTGCAGCGTCATTCAACTTTTTTTCCACTTACTTACTATGAATATCCTGGCAGTAAGAAGGATTTGAAGTGTCTAAGATTTTGTGCCAATCCAGATAAATAGGTAGTCCCAAATGTGGAAGAGTTTTATCTTTGTTTTTTTTTTTTAAGTTGGCAACCTGACTGCTTGGGTTTTGGAATATTTTTCTTAAGCAGAGTCATCAAAGTTCCCCATGTTGCCACATCTTGCAAAACCCACTCACCCAGTAGCTGTGGGCCCTTAGTTCTGAGGTGGCCTAAAAGAGCCCAGGAGGGACAAAGACCATTTTGATGGCAAAATTTTCAGAAATTAAGATACCCTGACAATACAATTCTTTGTAAGCCATGAGAGTAAGATGAAGTCCTAGTTATACGGCTCCCCAAATACAGTAACTTTCCCATACTGTTGGCATGCCCTTGGGAGCCAGTTGCCATGGTGATCCTTTTAGCACAAAAGAAGAAGTCTGGCTGGTCCAGGGGCCTCGTGTCTGAAAAGTTCAGCCCCTGTGGCAGAGAGGGCACTCCTCCACTTTCTTGACCTTTCTAGCATTACACATTTGTTCACAGCTGGCTAGAACTGGCCTAAAGCAGAGATGAGGTGCCTCCAGAAACTCACCGTAGCTGTGGTGACTGTGGGGGGGGGGGGGGGTTGGGAACACATCTTCATATCTAGTCCTGGAGCTGTTCTGACTTAAGATTATTAAGTAATATAGGAAAAGGCACCTAGGGAGTTTTCTGCCTGTTCTCTGTGAATGCCAGACCACTGCTTGATTACTCGTATTACAACTCTAGAAGCCCACTTGATCAAGACCTATCTAACCAATACCATAACTGATCTCTCATTCTATTTACACCTTAGAACTAACCACTGTGTATGTCACAGCTTCGATGGAAAACTGTGCACCACAGTCCGACGGGGGTGCCAGGTACAAACCTTCCTTGCCCACCTGTGGCATGAATTCCTCCTTGGTCTCCTTCTCACTTGATGGGGCTCCACAGGGGCATCAAGGGTGTGAGATTTGGGATGCTGGGGAAAAGCAGGTCCTTGTTTGCCATTCTCAGAGTGGTGCGCTCGGCTGTCCACTCATCCCCATGATCTAGCCTCTGAGCATCCCAGGTTAATGAACAAACGTTAACGGTGTGGCTCCTCCACACGGAATTTGGATTTTACTGAAAACTCCTAAAGGGCCCCCAAGGGAAGACTCTGATGGTGAAACGATAAACTAGGAGGATTCATATTTTTATACTGGAGCTTCAGTCACCATCTCCCCGAGTCATGCGTTCAGGTCATGCATCAGCCACGCTAATGACTCAAATTTTCATTCTACCAGATTTTCAAGATAATTCATGGGGCTGGCCCTGTGGCCGAGTGGTTAAGTTCGCGCACTCCGCTTCAGGCGGCCCAGTGTTTCGTTGGTTCGAATCCTGGGCACGGACATGGCACTGCTCATCAGGCCACACTGAGGCAGCGTCCCACATGCCACAACTAGAAGGACCCACAACAAAGAATATACAACTATGTACCGGGGGGCTTTGGGGAGAAAAAGGGGAAAAAATAAAATCTTCAAAAAAAAAGATAATTCATAGAACACTACATTATTATATACTTTAGTAAAATGTTATATATCTTATGGCTGGTTATTTTGTAATCCAGTATATATTATTTATTGCTCTGACGATTGTACATCACTGCTTGGAAATAACAGTCCCTCAATACAGCTGGGCAGGTGGAGCAGCATCACAGCAGCAAGAGAAGCTGGTCTTCATCGATGCCTGGAGGCTAAGCTAAAACAGGGTCAACACAAATTCAAAGCTAGCACTGAAAAGGAACACTAACTCAAAACTTAGTCAAAGGGTAAAAAGGTACTTAGGGCTGGAGATAGAGTGTCTACAAGGAGCAGTTTCAATTCATTTTTCCAATTGTAGACTAAGGTACTATGGTCACGAAGGGCGGATGGGAAGCAGCCATTCAGAAAATAAGGGCAGAGCATGTGCACCAATCTCCCAGCCCTGTGTTCCCTCAGCCCCCTCCCTCTGGTCATGGGAGTGTGACCTCTGAACTCACAGGGGAGTCCCCTCCTGGAGGGAGCTGGCAGCCCGCTGACCCCTGCTTTCTTTGCTTGTTGCACTGGCCGGAGCTGGGATTCTGAGCCTCTCACCAATCTCATTTCACATAAACATGTGGGTCTATGGAATCAGGCAAATTTCTTAACTAAATTAGTGCAATGCAATTAAATATCAGTCAAAACAGGAGAGGCACATTATTCATCATCAAACTAACGTCCTTTCCTGGGTTGTAATTAGGTCGAAGAATTAATGTCTATGGAGCACTTGCACTTCTCCAGAAGTATTTGCAAAATAGCGCTAGAGCAAACAGTTTCTAAGACCTCTTTCAAGAATTTTTTATGAGTAGAAGTCAAGTAGAGAATTATAATTCTAAAAGAGCAATCACACCTCATATTCCAAAGAAGAAAATGTTAAGGATTCAAAAGAGATTGGAGACAGGGAACATTAGATGGTAATTTTATATTAGTAGCATTAATGTCACTAATTGAACAACAGAACTAACAAGTGTTTTCCTTGAACCCGATTAATAAGCTAATCAATCAGCAAGTATGTGGAAGCATCACAGGCTCATGGTGTTAGAGCTGGAGGGGGCCCTAGCGAGCACCTGATTTGACCTCCTTCTCTTTCAGATGAGGAAACGGAGTCACAAAGGAGCTGTGTCATTTGCCCAGGATCATGAGAATTCTATTGGGTGCTGAAGGATGACAAAGAGAGGTCACCCCCTCCGACCAGAATGTTGATTATACTTTTTAAAGAAAAGACTCATCGATGGTGATTATTTTTAGCTTGTAAAAGTCTATTCATTTAGAAGAAGCATTTAATGTCACAGATTATTATAAGAAACATTTTTAACAGGAGTTGCAATAATATATATACTTATGTATATGCAAAAGATATATACTTATATATATATGCTTTATATATATATATATATATATATATATATATTTGAGATCTCTCCTCCAAAAGGTTTATACAGGAGTCAAAAAAGAACCACTATCAAATGGCATATAATAACTTCAAATAATATACGCATTGTTGTCTTCACAAGATAGCCTTTTATCATTGAGAAACTATTAGTCCCTCTGGCCTCAAAACAGATAAATTTTATAGGAAGCACTTGTAGAAACTCAAAATAATGGAAAAACTAATATCAAGCTGTGGTCCCCACGCTTCAACTCACACGACACCCAGACTCTTATATTCCCTCTCAGAGTGAAATCTTCCTTTCCTTCTGCTTCGATGGAGCCAGACCAGGTGACCGTACTGCAGCAGGTGCCCAGGCCGGACGAGAATGATTGTCTTCCTCACTGTGTAATCTCTCCAGGGTCCCGTGAAATGTCAATGTGCCTAGGAGGAAAGCTGCTAAGAGCCTCAGGGTTCTTCGCAAATGTGTGTGTCTACGATATAAATGAGCCAAGATGAGATGTAAAAAGAGAAACATCTGAAATTCATTTAGTTTGCCTTATAAATCCTCATTTCATCTTGATTGAGAAAATAGAATATTATCTCATTAATGGAACATTATCTTAGTAATAGAACAAGACTGAATTTTAATATTGAGCATGAAATGACGTACTGAGAAATGAAAATCTTGTTGGTGGTCTTTTATAATAATAACAATTATTGTCGTTTAATTAGTAATATTGTTATTGTAATTCCATGTCTATCACTATTATTTTCTGGAACCATCTATTTCAGGTTATCCTAAGGGTCTTCAAGTTCAGCTTAATGATTTTTTGTGATTGATGAGGTTTGATCATGACTACATAATGGTTTTGCTTAGAGATTTCTCAAACTAACTTAGAGAAATTTAGTCCCACGTCAGACACAGTACCATATAAGGATTTATCTTTTGCAGATAATTGAAAAAGAATCTGTGATGGCTAAGTTTGTGACAGAATTAGATGAAGTAAGAGCCATTTTGATGTATTATCAAGAAGTTTGAAGTGGATTTCTGTCCCTCCCAATGAGAAGAAGGCCTTCGTGTGTTACACCAAGCAGCTTGGTCTCCAAGACATCCTTTATAGTCTTTTTAACACTGCACTGGATTCCACACTACTGGAGATAGTTGATTAGCAGTCCATGCCTTTAAGACAATGATTTCCAGACGTGCTCTCTGTACACGGGCAGGAAAAATGACGATTACCTTCTGGACTTTTATATGTACATAGTTATTGTTCTCTGGTTACAAATGTAACTGTGGATGGTTAGCTTTTATGTAAGATTTTAATCCCTCTCTCATTTTTTCTACTGGATACCTTTATCCACACTAATTATGATGGGCCAACCAGAACCTTGTGTAGATCATTAAACAAGTAAGATATCACAATATTCTGCAGACATAATTCATCATAATGTCTGTGGTGAGAGAGTTCAGGGTATTAAGACTTTCATTTTCATGCTGGTGGACATACAGACACAAATAACGAGCTAAAGATTCTAGATTTATGCACAGTGGCACCATGAAAAATGTAGGATTTTTGACAGAAAAATGTCCCCCCAAAACTTATTATCAATAGTCTACATGTTGTAAAGTTATGACCAGTTGAAGAATATCTGGATTCCTAGGAAATCAGAAGAGATTGCTATCTGCACACACCTTGTTCTATAGACGGCATTGTTCTTCTAAGTGACAGCTGAGTGTCATCTGACACGTCACCATGTGCAGAACTTGTATGGTGTTTGTTCATTCCTAATATATCCAAACAGATTCAAAAGCCAGGAATTTCTTAACATGGCCATCTGTTAAGCATCTCCCTTTTGGTACATTATCTCCAAATAGACAATGAATTACCTTAGCAATTATTGCCTTTTATACAAATAATTAATGACAGACAGTAACTCAACTGACTAGATTCTTTTTTCACTTTGAAAGTATTTAGCTTGGATTTCCACTCTTAGTACTTTACCTTGGGTTGATTTGAGTATCTCTAGGTCCCTTGTGGACCAGACTCCACCGTGGCTGACCCCGGGCCAAGCCACCGTCGTCCCTGGTCTGGTTTATTGTAATCACTCTCTAGCTGGTCCATCAGCTTCCACACTTAGCTCCCTACAGACGACTCAGGAGGATTTTACAAATTTTGAATTTCATTTAACAGAGCCCTCCTCTGTGGTTTCTAGCCAAACATGGAACTGATGGTAGATGTTAATAATGATCGCTGGCTGATGCCTGCTAGTGAAAGAGGAGAAGCTAAAGGTCTTGTCAGAGTCTTAAGTGCTTGTTGTTTCTTTCATGTCCCGTTGCTTTCAAACTGAAAACAAGGATTTTTTTTTTAACCACACACGGAACACTATATTAAAATAAATAGACTAAGAAATGATAGGCTGCATAGATTTAATATAATTAATCCCCCTTGCTGGTCTCTACTGTAAATGCAGCCAGCAGAGGTTTGAAGTGAGTTAGAGCACTTTAGCAATCAAGAGTGCAATCACTTAGCTCTGGTACTTGTGCGAAGTGCCCACAGCCTAAGCAGCTGTCACGGTTTCATAGAAACCAGGTGTCACAGAAAGAGACGGGTTACAAGAGTCTAATACGTTGCCCAGAGATGATGGCTTATTCAAAGGAGCCTTAAAAGAAAGATAATTAGGTGATTATATCTAAAGTCCTTAACAAGGGGCTTCTTCAAAGAGGGCTTGACGCTGACATCTGCACCCTTCACAGTTGGAGTGTTCTACTGAAAGCTCATGTCTTGGGATTCCTGTTACAAAGGTATACAAACTTTGAAGAGAATTAGAAAAATAGGTTATTTTAATTAGATGAAAAAATGTTTGGAAATATATGCAATTATCTCTTTCCCTCACCCCACATCCATCAGCAATTCCTAGGGACACCTAAACACATGAGAATCATCTGAAAATTCCAATCCAGGGTCAAGGAATTGGGAAAGGCAAATTGTCAACAAGCAGAAGCCATAAAAATTAGAAGAAGTAAAGAGATAAGCCCCAGTAGGAAGGACTGTGGGTGTCTGTGTCCTGCCAAGTGGGGCGGAGTAGAGTGCTGGGTCCTGGGTTACAAACACCAGCCCCACATGCCAGGCTGGCTGGATAAGAGTCGTGGTGGGTGGGTGGGTGAGGAGTGCTGACAACACGGACACCAGGTCACACCCCCGGAGGCTCACTCACCAAGTCTGGAGGGGGCTGAGAAGTGTTGATTCTTAACAAGCATCCAGGATTCCAAGTTAGGGAACCACTGTTCTGATTGGTTCATATGAGTATTCCTTTGTCTCAAGTTCAGAGTGGTGCCGTAGAAAGAACCTCTCTGAGCTTAGAATCAGAAGACATATGTTGAAATCCGGATGGTGACTATTCAGGTGAACGTGAGCAAAACGTTTGACTCTCTGAGCCTCAGTTTCCCCATTGTGAGCAGACAAACTATTACACACCTGCCTAATGTACAGAAGGATGTCATACTGTTATTAACATAGTATTAATCATTAATTATACCCATTATTGATATTAGTTACATTAATAGAGTTAATATTTATTGAGAATTTACCAAGCGTATTATCTTATTAAATTCCCATCACAACCCTGTGAACTAAATAAAATTATGTCCAACTTATAGGCTAAAAGAGGTTAAGCAGCCCATTTTTAATATAATTACGGTGAATTTACCACTAAAGTTGAACATGTTGACTCTAAAGATATGGGCTGACCTGACTTAATAGGATTTTTCCCTTAAAACCATCCGCCTGCCTTAGTTCTGGTTGGCCGTTCAACAAGCAACTTTCTCTTCTAATTACAACCAGTCTTCCTCTGGGAGCAGCCAGCCCTCGCCAACTGGCATGAGAACGTTGTTCCCTCAGCAGCAATGGTTCTCACCTTCTGTCCAAAGGGCTCTTGAGCAGAATTGCTATGGCAACAACACATCATTATGCTTGGAGGATCCGAATCAAGACATCTGATCTTAATCCCACAGATGGCAGCTTCATCCCCTTTGGCTTCTGAGTTTTGCACTTGGTGAAGCAACAAATTGAGTTGCTCAGTAACAGACCAATCCCTTGTGAGTTACAAGTCATTCACTGGGAGTAGGTCACTTCTTTGTCAATCTAGAAAATCCCTTTCTCAGAGCTACAAGCCTGAGAACAAAGCTCCAGTTTCCGCAGGAAGCAATGACATAGCACAGCAACATGGCCAGGTTGTTTTCAGACAGGGGTCAAGTGGGCACAACTTTGCCTCCAAGGGACATTTCGCAATGTCTGGAGATATTTGTGGTTGTCACGACTGGCGTGTGTGCTACTGACATCTCGTGGGTGGAGTCCAGAGGTTGCCTGCAATGTACAGGACGGCCCCACAACAGACAATGATCTGGCCCCAAGGTCGGCAGCCCCAAGGGTGAGACACCCGTTATAGGATCACCCTCTCTCCACACATGCCCTCTCTCTGCAGCCATCCCCCTGAGGTGTGACATCCACCTCATGTGTCCACTCACTGGGTCCCAGGGGGTCCTTGGGGTACACATCTTTGCCTTTTTGGAACTCTATGTAATTGCTGGTCCATGCTAATCCAGCATATAACACAGTACCTTGTCCAGAATAGGTGTTCAATAAATGTAAAATGTCTTAATAAATACAGTTACATTATGTGCACCTCTAATGACAGTAATACTGTATTACGAGGAAATTGATTCAATGATAAGTTAACACCTCCATTCCAGGTATAAGTCAGAAGTAGTGCTAGGACAAAAATGGTGATATTCTTACCCCAAAGATAGGAGTTTGAACCCCCGTCAGAGGACTCTCTTTTTCAATTTAAAAAAAAAAGTAACCTAAAGGAGGGGCCGGCCTGGTGGCGTAGTGGTTAAGTTCACGCACTCCACTTCAGCAGCCCAGAGTTCGTGGGTTCAGAGCCTGGGCGCAGACCTACACACAGCTTATCAAGCCATGCTGTGGCAGCATCCCACATCAAATAGAGGAAGATTGGTACAGATGTGAGCTGAGCAACAATCTTCCTCAAGCAAAAAGAGGAAGATAAGCAACAGATGTTAGCTCAGGGTCAATCTTCCTCACCAAAACAAAAAAGAAAAAAAAAGTAACCCAAAGGATTATCATTAAATTCGTAAAAATGAACCTTAGAGAAAGGAAACAGAGTCAGCACTGCCAAGGATTTCATCAGTTGTGTTAAAGGAGGACGTTACAATTGCCTCTGCAGACGGCGTGGGCACCGGTGGTCCTCGGCTGCTTCTTGTCCTACAGTGACTGCGAATTCACTTACATACAACTATGCTCTCCACACATGCTGAAACTGGGGATCTAAACATAAAACACGGTCCCTGCTCCCCTGGGGGAGCACACAGTCAGACTGGGAAACGCAGAGATAATCATCAGAGGATGGGTACGCACCACAGCAGAGATAGTAAGAGGGGCTGCAAAGCAGCCAGAAGATGTGTGCGGCCCAGCATGAGGTCACCGGACTTGACCTCATTTCCTTTTTAATGAGAAGGTGAGGCTGAAGCCGTAGGCCAAGCAGGAGCCTGCTGCCACAACCCAGGTGAGAGGCGGGGGTGCTGGACCAGATGGGGGCAGAGGTGGGCGTGGTAAGAAGTGCTCAGAGCCTGGCTCAATTCTGAAGTCACAGTCACCATCAGGTTAGCTAACCTGAGTACAGAACCCTTGAGAGACGGGGACTCTCTCACCGTGAAACCAGGTTCTTCCGGAGCGTGAGACCGAACCCCAAGGCAACGACCATCCGCTCTGACATCACAGGAGCCGGCCAGCTGCCTCCCTCCTGACTCACGACTTCATCTTCCCCGAGGTCAAGGAGAAGCAAGTGGCACCCTCACCAGCCTCCACCACGGCCCTTACACCTGCCGTCTGGTTTGGGTGGGAACGGGGAGCAGCCTCGGGCTTCAAATCCCTGTCGTTGGCGGTGGGAACCTCTCAGAGCCTCAGTTTCCTCGTCTACAGGATATTCCGACCAATAAGCAGCCTATAAAGTTGATAGTGTGTGGTAAGTGCTCAAAAACAGTAGCCTATTTCTCTTCTCTAGCGTTAAGACCCTGCGTGACAAGAAAAAACGGCTTCAGCCATAACAGGCGGGGTCCAGTGCCCCGCCTCCTATGGCTGTTCGACTTCAGCCTCCAGAGCCACGGGTGTTCTGAACCATCCCTGAAGGGACACCGTGCCGCCCTCTGTCGTGGGAACTAAATGAGGCACGTGTACAGCCCTGCCACATAACAAAGGACCTAGTGGTGATATTAACACCTTAGTGACAGGACAGATCTACTCACGCTCTTGCCAAGCAAGCCACACACGTGCATTCAGTCAGCACTGGCTTATCCCCTTAGAGGCAACGGGGACATGTGGTGATATAAGTAAGAAGCGTAACCACGGCCCTGAAGGGGACACATCAGATGGCAGTTAAAAAGTCGGCTCAGACATCAGACGGGCTCTGGGACCACTGCTTATTAGGGCTGTGGTCTTGCGCAGCTTATCTGACCCATGTTTTTCCCATCTGTAAAGCTCGTTTTGAAAATTACATGAAACCGCTCTTGTAAATCCCCAAGCACTCTACCTGGCGCCCAGCGAGCCCTCCGCATCGTTAGCTGCTGCTACAGCATCTCCACAGTTACTGCTATCGTCACAATTATTATTGCTGTTGTTGAGGAATAAAGCTATTGTACTAGTTAGAGTCCTTACAACTGTAAATTATGAAACTCAATGTCATAGTAGATTAAGCCACAGAGGGAACGTGCTGGCTTCACGCAGCTGGTAAGGCCGTGGTAGGGTGGACTCAGCCCAGCCCAGTCCAGACCCGAAACGATGCCTCAGGATTCTCACTCTTGTGTGTTCTTGGCTTTACCTCTTGGTCTCTGCGCGAAGCAATTCTTTTAGGCTCAGGAGTCCTCTCTCTATTTTAAAAGGAAAATGGCCTCTAAGAACCTCAGAATTTTATCTTCCAATTACCGTGATACACACACAAAACTAAGGTTTCTCTCTTCTCCTACAGTCCCAAATGGAAAGGCCCCAGAGAGGGCCCTGCCAGGCCTGGGCTGGGTTCGACATCCACCCCGCTGATCCTTGGAACCAGGGAACGGGTGCGCCCCCTGCCCCGGGGACTCCAGGGACAGAATGCCGCTATTGATAACCCCATTAGAACCACTGGATTGGGGGAAGAATGGACCCCAACGGAACAGCGTCAGCAGACTGGTGATAGTAGGAAAAAGAGCCCATATTAGTGAAGGATGCAAATAAGCATAAAAAGGGAAAATTGTGCAGTGAGGTAACGAGGACCCAAAGGAGAGAGCAGCAGAGTCTCTGAGGGTCTGTGGGAGGAAACAATGAAACACTCACCTAATTACCACCCATCAGAGCATCTGCCTCCCAGCGTTCACAGTTTAATTTGAAAATGACGAGAGCTCTGGTCCGTTGCTAATTCGATTCCCAAGAAGATTACAAAGCTTCAAAATCAGAAACATCTGGACAGCAAGCTTCTGCGGTCCGTTTCCTACAGGACAAGTCATAAAGGCCCGGCCAAAGTCTCAACTGAACTCTTCGTATTTGAGTTAAAGAAGTTTTCCATTTCTTCGTTTTAAAATACTCTGGCAAATACTTTGTGAATTGTCTGCATTTTGACTTGAATTAGTGTTCCCAACTGCCAGTTGCTCTGATTCTGCAATTAAATGCATCCATCCAACACTTTCATGTTTCTGTCATCTCTAGACCAGTTAGATACGCAGGGAAGAGCAATACAAACACATTTTTATCTAGTCGCTTGTCTCCTAATCCCTTCCCAACATGGATTTTAAGGCTTTTGCAGAGAAATAGGAAACACATTGTACCAACTTTCTATAAAAGCACAAAAGTCCCCAAAGACTTAAGGATTGCAATCAACTTTGGCACCCTATTTAGTGCCATGGGGCTAGCGGTTGATGACTTTATACTTTGGGGTGGAAATAGGAGTTTATTTTCAAAATAGAGCCCCTCATTACGCCAGTTGAACAGACTGCTGAGCATGGACACTTGCTCTGAGGACAGAGGTCTAGCAACAAATTCCGAATCTCTCGTTCATTCTGACCGCGGTGTCCATCACAGTGTCGGGCCATCTCTATGCGGGGATCCTGGGGCACCTCCAGCTCAGCATGTCTGAACACCTACGGACTCAGGGGCGGGGGAGGAGGGGCTGCCTTCTTCCTCAGCTAAGGCAGGTCGGGGAGAGCCGGGGCTGTCTGTCTGTTTCCCAGGGCAGAGCTCTGACACAGCACCACCACCTCTGGACGCTGACCCCGCATCACTCCACCACCAGGTGCTCTCAGCTCCACCCTCCTCGGTCTCCCCTTTAGCTGAAAACCTCCTATTTCTACCTGGACTGCAACATCTTACTCACGGCTGGGCACCCGGGTCTCAATCCTGTGAGCCACACGGCCTTAAGGCTCGCTCACCTGAACTAAACCTCAGTCGGGCTTCTTCCCGACTCCAGCCCGGACCTTCCTGGCTTAGAGCATTTACTTTAGGAAACTTGTCATTGCACGTTCTTTCTCTGCCCCTTTGAGATGCAAATCTTTTGAAAAGCCTCTTGCCAGTTGTACAACTCAGGAAATGTATTTCTCAAGGACCTGGAGCCATCCCTTTGGCACATCATCCTCAAGGAGTGGAGCATCCACATCTCCCAGTCTCTGCGGGAAGGTAGGAGCCTCAATGTGGGGGCACCTTCCTCCAAGTCAGAAAACTACCTCCCATAATAAAGACACAAAAAAGTTTACCTTTCCTTTGGGGAAGGCCAAGGGGTAAATAGGCGTGGCCTATGACCCCCATCCCTCCCACCGTTGATTCAGCAGAGCTGAGCTCAGACTGCATTCGGGCCTCCCTCCTCTGTTGCAGTAGCCTTGGATAAAGTTTTCCTCGCCTGTTGAAATTCGGCGCAATTTTTGCTTTGACACTGAATGAACTCATGGATCACCTGGGGAGCTGTAGACATCGGGCGGGATGCCTCAGCCACACCTGGGAACATTCGACGAGACTCCCTGAGGTTGGGACTCAGACACCCTGACTTTCAAGGCTCCCCTCTGACCGCATGGGGCAGTGAAGGTTGAGGAGCACAGACCTGATCCCAGTGCTCTCCAGTCCTTCCCTTCAGGCCTTCCAGCTGCAGACTGTGTGAGTAAGGTGGGGGTTGGGGGAGGGCAGCTGCCCAAGATCCATTCTCAAGATAGGAGAACTAGGCACGTCTACCTGAGGCATCTTTTTACAAATTGTGACATGTGCCTTCCTATGGCGTTGTGTTTCCATTCTGCTGAGATACTGGATACAAGGTAGCTATGCATCCCTTAAATCCTGTTAAAAAAAAAGGCCGATAACTCCAGCCATGCCTGGAGTTCTGCCCTCCTGCAGACTGGGAACCTTTCTGGCTGCTTCTTTGTTGCACATTCCTACTTGGACTCG